TTCTCTGATGTTTGTCATAATTTCTCCTCTTTCATCCCTGATTTTGTTTATTTTTGTCCCTTCTCTTTTTTTTTTAGTGAGTCTAGCCAGGGGTTTGTCAATTATATTGACCTTCTCAAAGAACCACTCTTTGTTGCATTTCTTTTTTCTTTTTTTTTTTCCAATTTCATTTATCTGCTCTAATTTTGATTATTTCTTTCCTTCTGCTGACTTTAGGCTTCATTTGTTCTTCCTTTTCTAGTTTTTTTTTTTTTTTAAGATGAAGCATTAGGTTGTTTATTTGGGCTTGTTCTTCTTGTTTTTGAGATAGTCCTATAATGATACGAACTTTCCTCTTATTACTGCTTTTGCCGTGTCCTAAAAGTTTTTATTTGTTGTACTGTCATTATCGTTTTTCTATGTATCTCTTGATCTCTTTTTATTTCTTCCCTCACCCAGTTATTCTTCATGTACTTTTGGTTCTTTCATTTTATAGTTGATCTCCAGCTTCAAAGCATTATGATCACAGGATATGGTTGGTATGACTTAAGCCCTCTTACGTTTGTTGAGGCTATCTCTGTGTCCCAAGTTGTGGTCAATTCTTGAGTATGTTCCATGTGTACTAGAGAAGAATGTACAAGCAGCTCTTTTGGGGTAAAGGGCTCTGTAAATGTCAGTTATGGCCAGTTTGTCTAATGTGTCATTTAAGGATGTTATTTCCTTATTGATTTTCTGTTTGGATGATCTGTCCATATCTGACAGTGGGGTATTTATGTCCCCCCACTACAATAGTGTTTTGGTATGTTTCTCCCTTCAGTTCTGTTAGTAATTGCTTTATATATTTTGGTGCTCCCTGATTGAAAGCATAGATATTAATAAGTGTTATGTCTTTTGGTATATGATTTTTTATCATTATGAGGTGTCCCTCAGTATCTTTCTTTACCGTTTTTATTTTGAAGTCTGTTTCATCCGATAGTACCACTGCTCCCGCTTTTCTCTGAATGCCATTTGCTTGAAATACCATTTTTCACATTTTCACTTTGACTCTATGTTTGTCTTTGGGTCTGAGATGTTTCTGATAGAGGCAGCATATGGTTGGGTTTTGTTTTTTGATCCAATCTGCAGCTCTGTGCCTTTTTATTGGTGAGTTCAGTCCATTTACATTTAGGGCGATTATTGAAATATGAAGTTTTCCTGTAACCATTTTAGGTTTTGCTTTCTGGTAACTTGGTGTTTCCTTTGGTTCCTTGTCCTTGTTTCTGTTTTGGGTGATTATTGAAATACGAGATCTTCTTATAGCCATTTTATGTTTTGCTTTCTGGTATCTCAGTGTTTCCATTGCTTCCTTGTCCTTGTGTTCTGTTTTCTTTATTTTGGTTGGCTTTTGTGGGTTTTCCCTCTAGTTCTTGTTGTTTTATGTTATAGACTTCAATTCTGAATCTTTGGTGTGTGGTTACCATTACGAATATGTAAAGGATATATATACAGTCATCCATTTTCTTCTGTGTGGGCCTTATCTCCATTCCCCTTTACAAATTAGGATCTTTGAATCCTCCCCTTTTCAGTCATTGTTGTCTCAGTTTGTCCCTATGTATGCCGAACGTTCATTACTATCTTGGTATAGCAAATCTCTTCTTACTGTCGAAGTTTATAATGCCTGTTCTTAGTAAGGGTTGCAGTCCTCTGCTTCTATCTGTCTGCTAGTCAACTTACTCCTAGTTATGGTTTTTTGTTGTTGTTGTTGTTGTTTTGTCGTTTTGTTTTAAGTGAGCTGACTTAGTATTTCCTGCAATGCTGGCCTCGTAGTGGAGAATTCCTTCAATTTTTGTATGTCTTGAAAGATCTTTATTTCTCCTTCGTTTCTAAAGGAGAGCTTAGCTGGATACATTATTCTTGGCTGGTAGTTCCTTTCATTTAATAGTTTGAATATTTGATTCCACTCCTTTCTGGCTTATAAGGTTTGTGCTGAGAGGTCTGACAATAATCTAATATGTTTTCCTTTATAGGTTAACATCTTATTTTCCCTGGCAAATGAGAATTCTTTTTTTGCATTGATTTTTTATAATTTTAATACAATATGTCTTGGTGAAGGCCTTTCTGGGTTGAGATAATTGGGTGTTCTGTTGACTTCTTGAATTCCAAGCTCCAGCTCATTCCTTAGATTTAAGATAGTCTTGTCCACTGTTTGTCTGAAAATACTTGCTAATCCCTGCTCCTTTTCCTCTTTTTTTATAATGCTCATTATTCTTATGTTTCCTCTCCTGATGGTATCAGCTAGTTCTTACATTTCTCTTTCATTATTTTTCATTCTTTGGTTTCTCTCTTCTTCTTTCTGATTTATTTCTAGATTTCTGTCTTCAGTGTCACTGATCCTTTCCTCCATTTGGTCGACTCTATTTCCCAAGCTTGCTATTTCATTTTTTATCTCTTGCACTGTGTTCTTCATCTCCAGATGTTCTATTTGGTTCTTTATGAGGGTTTCAGTCTCCTTGCTAAAGAATTTGTTCTGTTCATCTAGTTGTTTTTTCAATTCCTGAAATTGTCGATATGATTCGTTTTGCATATCATTGAGTTTTTTCAAAAGTACCATCCTGAATTCTCTGTTATTTAAGTTGCATATTTCTATGTGTGTAAGCTTATTTTCTGGAGATTTTTCTCTTTCTTTCTGAGATGCCTTGTCACCTTGGTTGTTCATGGTGTTTAATGGACTATTTCTCCTCCTGGGCATTAATGGATGTGTATTTTACTTTTTTTCCAGAAAGAAGATTTATTAAATAGAGGTCTGTCTTTAGCCTGTTGCAAAGAAGGTGTTTTTCTTTTGGTTTCCAGTGGGTGGTGTCTCTTGGATCCCTGCTTTATATGAAGTCTTAATAATGCCTTTTTTTCTCTTATATATATTCAATTATACTCGCTACCCTCAGTCTCAGTCCCTGTTAGTGTTAACGACAGTTTCTGTGGCGTTTGCTCAGATTCCCTTGGGCTCCTTAGTGATTGGGCTTAGAAGGTATAGGGGGAGGAGCCCTCTGGGTTGGGGGCCTTGCAGTGGTATTAATGAACACTATTAAGTGCCAAGTGGCCACATACTCATAACCCAAAAGTAGATGGCAAAGTGGGTCTTCACTCTTGGGGGCATAAATTCTGGTGGAAGAGGAAAATGGTAATATATAATATAAAGCTGTATAGTTTATCAAGTGTTTTTGTACAGATGCTCTTAGTTTAAAATTGGGGGCAATTTTGCTATCCCTAATTTTTCGTTAAAAAATTTGAGGAGTTCCTGGACTTAAACTGAGTCTTTTAGAAAAGCCTGTATTTTCCCAGAAAAAGAATGATATTTTCTCAGAAATGAGAATGCAAACAAACAAAACAAACTTCCCATGGAAGCAGAAGCTACAGCATTTTATGAAACTATAGAAGGCAGTGCCCAGAGAGTTCTCGAGGATGTGGGTGGGGTCTATATTAGATTTTCCGGCAGCTCATTGTTTCTCCATGTTGCTTATTTCCATGTCACAGTTGTCCATTTGGACCTCTGGAATTTTAGTATGTTAAGCTTTCTCTAGGGAATGTGATGTTTGTAGAAAATGCAGTGCTCTTTTGGTCTAACTCTCAATTCTTGCCTCATTTTCAAATTCTTGAGAAGTATTTCCAGGTGATGCTAGCCAGTGATGAATATCCTTCATCCTGATTACATTTAGCTTTTAATCCATATTCTTTGACATTTGATCATTTTTGGTCCAGCTCTTTTCTGCTGTCATGTATTATTCTTCATTTATGTACACAAATTCGTCCTCCTAAAAAGATTATAAGTTCACTGAGCATAAGACTAACCCATTGTGGCACATAGTAGGTATTTGCTAAGTGCTCTTTGACGTTAACAATAAATTTACTTGGTTTTCCTCCTTTTTCCTCTT